TTTTTTTTTTTTTTTTTTTTTTTTTTTTAGAGCTAACTAGATAGCTATTTTATTTTATTTATTTTTTTTTTTTATTGCCTGTTCATAAAAAAAATTGCAAAATGCAGACGTTTTTACTATCCGCTGTTTGTAGCACTTTTTTTTTTCGATCAGTTGGAAGTAGTTCTATATCACAGCGCAGGAAAATTGTTACTCGATTTGTCGATTTGTCGATTTGTCGATCTGTCGATTTGTAGATCTGTACTTTTATGAGTCTTTAAAGTTGTGAAGTTGTAAATTTGTGTATTTGTGAATTTGTTCGTTTTTTCAATCGCTCGCCTGAAATTTTGCGAACCTCTCCAGTTGCTCACCCTCCGTGCACTCGAAGATGAAGCGGATAGCCGAGCTCTACGCCTACTCCGTAGACAAGTCCACAACAGTTTTCAACCTGAGGAAAAAGGAGGAAATTTCCAAACAGAAAAAGAGCGAAATGAATTGGTTGAACAAACTGTGCTCAGAATATGAAAAAACAAAAAAGGATACATTTGATTATTTCACCGTTAAAAAAAGCGAATGGCAAAATAAATTGAACAACTCGAAATTTTCTTCCTGCTTCAAGTGCGAGAACTCCAAGTATGGACACCTCCCCTGGTACAAAAAGTTGTACTACATATTAAAAGGGCATGTCTACAAACTTTTGAACATTGCTGATGGGGGAAAAAATGTAGACGCAGGGAGAAACGACGAGGGAGGAAGATACGAAGAGGAAGACTCCCCTAGTAAAAGGTCCCAACCAAGTCAGCACGAAAAAACAATAACCCGAGAGTTCATTAGCTACGAAAACATCGATTACAAACGTGTACAGAAGACAAAAAATGCGGAGGACTCACTTTTTAATAAGTATAGGGAAAGGTTCAGAAAGACAAGAGACCCTGAGGCCTACCTAAGTGAGCGCAGCCAGTCAGAATTGGTCAAGAGGAACATGTTTTCGAATGGCCTCATGTCTGTGCACAGCAATAAGAGCATAGTGGAGGAGGCGCCACGGGGAGAAGTGGAAGCCGAAGTTGAAGCTGACGCGGAAGCGGAAGCGGAAACGACGGTAGACGCGAAAGCAGACGCGGACACGGTCAACGAAGCCACCGACGCGGAAGAAGCGGACACCAACAGGAAGAACCTTCTACACGTGGAGGACTCCCCCAAGTTTAATATAAAAAACACGTGGGAGAAACTGAGCGGGTACATTTCGTAAGTGACAAACGTGGCACGCCCCTGTGCCAAATTGTTTACTGCCCCTGACATGAGGGGCAAGTTTGTTGGTGACGCGCCGTTGCCATATTTCTCCCCTTGCACACGCTATACACGTTGCGCACTTGTCCTTTTGGGTGGATATACCTTTGACAAGTGGACCATATGAAATGTCCAACCTCTTTGTGCAGGGCGGACATGTCCGTGTGTATGTGCTTGTTTCCTATTGAACATCCCCCCCCTGTGGACAAACGCTCCTACGCTAGCGCGAAAGGTGCTTAGGCCACACTTTGCCTTTAATCAGTAAATGTTTTTTTTCGTAAATATGGACAAGTCAGACAAGATGTTATTTGTGTATGCGCTTAATTTGGTAAACAAGTAAAAAAAGGAAAAAAAAAAAATCCCCCAATTGCCTGAACAATTCACCAAAATGTGTGACTCGTTCATAAAAAGGATAATGCCCAAAGTAAAGTTTCCCTTGTACATATACAACACGTAAGTGGACGTGTTTGTGGATTTGGTTTTTGTACCTAGTTCTTTTTCGTGGCATTTCTGCTCCATGTTGTTGGTGGGTCAATGGCAACATTACCCCTTTGGTGATGTAATGGAAGAAGCACACGGTGGAGGGATATACGTAAGACACAGTGTTTCGCTTCAACTGTTCTTAAAGGTGAGCATTCGATGGTCATCTCCAATGGGCGGGAAGTAGTTCATCCGGCAGCGTGTGCAAAGAGCATTTCCTCCTGCCCTATATTCGTTATATCAAATTTTTTTTTTTACATGAAAACATGCTCTGCTTTATACATTAAAAATTAAGTTTTTAATTATATATTTAAAACGTTAAAAAAAAAAAAAAAAAAGGAAAAATACAACAGACATTTGCAGATGTATAATTACACACGCCGCCGCGCGCATGTACATACACACATATGCAACTGGGTGTTCACTTTTTTTTTTTTTTTTTTTTTTTTTTGGGGGGTAAATGGACATCCACGCGGAGGTGAGAATGTGGTATGGGGCGGCAGGTTGGTAACTCAATATATATATTTTTGCGCTACATATACAATAGGGAGCATATATACACATATACATATATATATACATATACATATATATATACATATACATATATACATAACATGGTGCAGTAGGTTTAGCTTCACATGTATCATTCGGTTGGCTAGTCGGTGGACCACGCTCTGGTAACTATACCCACTTGAATCGGCTCGCCTCAATGGGCTGTCCTCAATAGGCTCGTCTCAATCGGCTCATTCGGCGTTGGTAAAAATCGACAGGATGGAAAGAAACAAATTAATTATATCCATGTAAAGGGCCAGGGTGGCAAAAATGTAATCATCAACGGAGAATTCATATTTTTTGTGTTTGCCTCCAATAATGAGTTGTGTGTCGACGATGATGGAAACGGACAAGAGGAAGGCGCTAATACCTGCAAACACTAAATTAAAAACTTTGCTGCGTACAAAAATACCCACAATACCTAGCACCATTAATATTAAAAAGGCCATAAACAAATATACGTACCATCCGGTGAAATCCCATTTGGTTTGAAAGGCAAAAATGGTTAACCCTACTACCACAACAGACGTTGTCCCAAAGGCATAAAAAAATATTTCGGAGTTCGTTCTGGCACTTGCTAAGGTCACAATTAGAGTCATACCAAGGGTTATTAAAAGAAGTAGGAAATAATTGCTTGGGTATTTTCTTGCCATGTTGGGGGCACAAGCCAAAGCTATCATTATGGGTAAGCTTAATATAATACCAAGGACGAAGAAGAGAGTGTAGTTGGTCACAATAAAGGTATTAAATGGTTGGTACAGAACTGCTAATGCTGAACAGCCAAAAGTCATCAGGAGCTGGAGGGATAATATGGAATATACTTTTCTAATAAAGCCATGTCTAATTTTGGTGGAGGAGAATTCGTTAAGGGAGAATTCGTCGTAGAGTCCTCCATTGGCTGCTGTGGCTCTTGTGGGTGCATCATAGTAGTATCCTTTTTGTTCATTGTTTCCTTTTCCTTGTCCTTGTCCATAATTGTAGTTGTAGGATGATCCTTGGTTGTACACAGCTCCGTAGCTCTGGCCCCCGTTGGCTCCGGGGGCTGCCGTTCCATTCTGGTTGTTATACATGGTTGCGCGTCGGATAATGCGTTAAAATACGGGGAGGTAAGATATCACGATCTGTGCTCTGGGGTTGCGGCGTTTATATATATATATATATGTTATTATACAAATATTTACGCGCGTATAACACACACACACAACACACGTGCTAGCGAGGAGTTGCGGATGAATTTTGACGCTTCGTGGGGGGCGCTGAATTGGGGAAAAGGGATTTATATAAAAATGTACGTTTGCACAGTGACACACGTGTGTTTTCTTTTTTTTTAGGGGGGGCACAATCTGCATTACGAGAGGGGCCGAGAGAGTGACATATAAAGGAGGGAGAACACGTTTACATATGTAAAGATGTACCCATACGTTTGCTTGCTGTTACACGTACGTATAACATACGCATAACATATATGTATACATACGTATAACACACGTATAACATACGTATACATGCAAACGCGTGTGCCCTGGGCGCGTTGTGGCCCCCGGGCGCACAAGATTCAAATGTACGCCCGGATAGGTAACGTATAAATTGAACAAAATGTGCCTACCTGTTCACGTACGAACGTACAATTATATTTTTTACGCGAAACGCATAAAAAAAATGCTTCCCTTCCTCTAAATGTTGGGATGCAGCAAATATCTGGTTCGTTCGCTTCGTCGCGATTTGGTTTTTGACTCAATTTGCGAATAGCCAAAAAGTTACGTTTGCGCTTTTGTTTTTTTTTTTTTTTATTAACAGCTTTTTTTTGTTCATGTAAAAAGTTTGAACTTTATAAAAAAATATTAAGTAAAATAAAAAAAAAAAAAATTCCATGGCATTTTGTGTTTTTTTTAAATGGCAGGGGGGAAAAAAAAGGAAAGGTAAACTTTAAAAATTCGCATTTTTACGAGGTATGGTATTTATTTCGTGGCACGGTGCAGTGACGCACGCCCCTTTCCCCCCCCCCCACGCCACGTTGATCATGGGGAATTGCCTATTAGCAGAATTGCCAATTTGAAAATTGAAAATTGAACTTTTGCTTCTTTTCATTGGGCATTTGCTGGTATTATTTATTTTGGCTCTTTCATTCATTTGTACGCTGCGCTTCGTGCGGCTCCACTTTTTTTCGCGCGTGTAAACCTTCGTGGATTTGACCCCGCAAATATGCACAGTTTTTTTTTGTTTATAATCCCCCAATTTTAACCTCGCTACGCTTACCTTAGCCGCGGCGCGCCCTTGTTGTGTCTGCGAAGTACAAATTTCCGCCTCTGCTTTGCCAAAAGGTGAGGAACAAAAATTACTCGTTTCAGTTGGGTTAAACAAAAATATATATGTTCATTTGTTCAACAGTTTTGCAGAGGCGTGCGCAGAGGGCAAGACAAACAACAAATGGAAAAGAGGAGCTGGGGGGAGTGACAAGTGTTATAACTGTGTGCGCGTTGGATGGATTTAGGGGCCCTACAAAAATGAAATACTTTTTCGTCCGTTTCGTCCTGTTCGTCCTTGTGGAAATGTTTTTTTTTTTTTTTTTTTAAAGGTTGTTTTTAGAACACGGTGTAGTGGTATAGCTAGTCGCATGTGTGAAGCGGTCCTCACCAAACGTTACCACGAATCGCCTCCCGTCGTATATCTCTGTCCACTTGGAAGAGGCACTTGGGCGTAATGTTTCTTCCCTTGTGGATGGGACAAAAAAAGCGCACAAGGTGGAAAATGGCGCAAACGCACAATGGGTGCACGGTGCACGGTGCATGTGTCGTATGGTTTAGGGTGGATAGAAATTCCCCTCCGTCGTTTTACTCCCATCCTACGCAAGCGGGCGAGTCTCGCCATGTAGAAGTCAACCCGCATTGTGATGGTTATCCTCCTTTACATACCCCTCCCCCACGTTGTGGGACAGGATCCCAGTTGGCAGTTGAGTTTTCAAACAAATAGGAAATGCTCATTCGAATGACGTCCACCACTTCATTTCAGTGTTGCGTTGAAGGGGTAATTATTTGTTGTCTTCTTCGTGGGGGGGGGGGGGTTAGCAGCTTTCCAATGTTGCTTCTTTTTTTTTTTTGTAAAGTTCAAAGGGCACTCTTCTGTGTTAAACACAGGGGGTCGTACTTGGTGAGGGCTTTTTTCTGAAGTAACGCGGTGCGCAGAGAAAGACGGCAGGTGATCGGTAGCAGTTCACACAAACACGCATTACGTAGGTATAACTGCAAAGAGGTGTGTACATGCGCCCTTGACCAACTTGTACGTGTATAATTTTGTTAACTCGTTTGGTCCGTCTTCCCCCCGCGGGACATGCAGAAATGGCGATTGCCCCTCTTCCCCAACGTAATGCTCTTCGAGGAGGGGAAAAGTGGTCTGGAGCGAAGCTGATGGGGGAAAGCAAACCGAAATGAAGCTTCACCCTTTTTAGAAGCCACCCTCTTCCCCATCTGGGTAAATGTTCTATGAGGCACAAAAAATTTTAAGCCCGTTTGCAAAAATGGCGCGCACCACCACGTGACAAGTAGGAGGGGGGCACAAGTACACGCGGCACACGAATATGCCTGCACATGCACTGATGTGTACGCGACGCGGCCTACTTCCCCACTGCGTTAGCACAAAACGGGTAACCATTTCGAGGCGATTTTTTTTTTTTTTTTTCCCTACCTATTGCTTTACTAAACAGTACATAAAGGGGAAAAGCTACACAGGAGTATTTTGAGCAGACGTGCAGGCAAATCAGCTTCAATGCACAGGGGAGAGTCCTCAAACAAGCACTTCTCCTTCGGTTGAAGTGTTAATAATTAGTAGCTCCTTACTTAGAAAGACTGGACCCATGCATATAAGTGCCTTGTTACATGTTCGATTCCGTTGATGTCCCCCCACAAATGCGCGCGCGAGGAGATATACTTCATGAGCATGTTCCTGGGGGGCATACACAGATCAGCATGTATGGGTGTGTAAGTGTATTGTGACTTTGTACTTTTAAGACGCAGTTTGGGGGTGTAGCGGTTAGTGGTGTAGAAGAGAAACGGCGACGCTGCCTGTATGTCACCCACGCCGCGAACATGAACTCCAGAACGCCTTGCGTGATCGTGTATGCAGTGTCGCTGGTGGTGTGCGTGTTGGTAATTTTTTCCTTGAACAAGTATGAGCGGCAAGGGGTGCCGCTGCACAAGTTGAGCAGCACCTCTGCGTATGTGCAGGACATTTACAATGCGGGCATAAGGGAGAATGTAAAGGGGGGAAGACAAAACTGGTCCCATGACAAGGTCTCCCACTTGAGCATAAAACTGTTTATCGTGTTGACCAGTGGAGGAGGAAACAGCGATTCATTGGGGAGAAAAATGAAGGAATATTTTTCTAACCAAATTGAGGTTGAATACAAAGACAAGCCAGTTGCACAGAGCATCTCCGATATACAGGAGCTGTTTTGCATACACCCACTCGTCATTAGTGAAGAGGAAATGAAAAGTGATGATATGAGGGAGCTTGCAAGTGTATGCTTGAGTGATTCTCCCGAGAAGGGTGCCACTCATAATTTGCTAAGCAATAGGTACTTCCTATGTTTAAGTGAAAAGCAGGAGGAGAACGAAACTAGCGTTGTGTTCAGGCTGAAGAGGAACAACACCATCCACATGAAGTTCAGCCCACAGGTAGGTAACTCCACCACGTACCATGAGCGTTTGGCGGAAGAAGCATGGAGGGTGTTGAAGCGTGTGTTTTTTTTCAAGCCCAAAAATAGGTCTCTTTTTTTTAGCCCCGAATTGGACTTGAATTTTTATTTGGCTAGCAGTTTGTACAATGGGCAAAATTACAAAATGGAAAATTATACAACACGTCACGGGGGACGAAACAAAACTGGTGATGATCAAAACATATATGCTTCCCACATGGAGGGCAGTTCCCCTTCCCCTGTTTACATCGCCACCTGGGATTTCTACACACAGGTGTACTACCCCTACTTGAGAAATTTCGTCGAGGAGCTTTTAAACGTTTTTCAAATAAATGTGTACACCCAAATGATTGCTAACATGGACTTGTTTAAAATTTCGAACAAGGGCAAGGACGTGGGAGGGAAGCGAGTGGTCATCCTCAACAAGGTAAATAAATTAAGTAGCATGTTTGACGATGTCACTTTGGGGGATGTACTAACCAAGCCAACGTACCACATTCCGAAGAGTATAAATTTAATGGCTGTTTTTCCATGTGGAGATGAAATTTTTTTTTATAATCCTGCCACGGGGAAGCTCGAAACGACTGTTTCCTTTGCAGAGTGGGGTGTCGTACATGTAAATAATGCACTTCAACGGGGGAATATTGTAGAGAAGAGGGGGGGGGGAAACAAAAAAAACCGGTATGTTAATGTAGGAGAGGAGGCTCCTATAATTAGCGGCTTTTTCATTTCCCATTTAAGACAATACTTAGGTCTAGAAGCAAATTTTTCAAATTACGTTTATACCATCTTTGATGCAGACACGTATTATATAAAATATGTTCGAAGTGAGTCCACTGATGAGGGCAACTCTTTGTTGTATTCCATCACGAGTGAGGATAAGATACGGTTCGACTTCATTTACGAGAGCCCTGCGAGAAGTGGGATATTCCCTTTTGAACTTTTGGCCCTCATGCGAGAAGCTTACATACACTACGTGGTGGAAGCGCTAACCAACCTGAACAAATTCGTGTCCATATCGAATGTAAGTATGTATTTCAGAGTGCCTGAATACGCATTACACGTTTTTACTGATGTCGTTGAGAAGGTTAAATGCAGCTTGGACCTCATGCGGGGGGTCGATGGGTGTAAAATTTCTCACGTGGGAAAGTCCCTTCGGGATGTGTTGAAGTCGTACGGTGGTGTTACGGGGGGAAGTACACAGGAGGGGGATAACCGGCGTGAGGAGACAGCGCGTCTGCGGGACACGTACTTCAGGGCGGCAGTCGTTCTGGCTCAGAGCGCTTACCAGGATTCCTTACAAGTAGGTCCCCTCCATTGTGCACGTCCATTCGTGTCATCTTTCGCTGCTGCGTGTGGTGTAAGGCACTCCACTCATGAACACAATGCATGTCCCGTTTCGCGCCCCCCTTTTGCAGCTCCTGAGCGATGACACATTTTCCATTTACGACATCCTGTCGAAGGACTTCCTTCTAGCCTCCGTGCTGCCCATACTCATTCCGTATGCAATTCCGGTCACGCTTTCGCTGTTCAGGTTGGGCATCCCCTTTGCGTTGGAACATCTCAACATAATTACCCACACCAACATACAGGCGTTGTGGGGCTTAAAAGAAAAAAATGTTCCTCACACGCCTTTACTTTTCTTTACCCTTCTTTTGCCCTTTGCAGGGAATTATTCAGAAGCGTCAAATTGGTGAAGGAGAAACGGAAGGTGGACTGACGAGCCTTTTTTTTTTTTTTTTTTTTGTCGTTTTTGCCCCCTCATGTGCATCGTTAGTACGGCATGAGTGGGTTACTCATTAGCTTATTTGCTTTTTCCCATGTGTTTTTTTTATTCAAATTTTAACATTGCCCTCCGTTAGCGGTTGTTATTTGGTAACTTTACGAACCGCTGCTCATTTGGACGCTACGTGCTCGACCCCCCTCATGGGTGGTGTCACTGGGTGGTACTGGTCAATATAATACACGTAAGATGCTCATGTGTGGTGTTATCGCCTACATGTTGCTCTTCTAAAATGGCAACATGGGAAAATATTTGTGTACCATGCAGGGGGACAAACAAAAAAAAAAGTTGCACCCTCTACTTTGCGAACTTACAACGGGGGAAGTGAGACCTGTGTTTCCATTTAACCCCCTGTTTGTGATGGTGTAAAAAAAAAATATAACCTGTCACGTGGTCGCACGGTTCGCATTTTTTTTTTTTTTAAATACCATTTTGTGGTGTAATATGAATTAATCACAAAGTTGGGGAGGGGTTCACTTGGGTCACATGCTACACCTTGCGCGAGGGCCATTTTCGCTACTACAACTGTGCAAAATGGGAAGACCCGCTTTGTGGAGGGACTATAAAGATGGAGGGAAGATCAGAGGGGGGGGGGGGGGAACATCCCCACTTGCAGTCACAACCATGACCTGCGCCTTGACAGGACGAGATTGAATTCATTTGAACGTTATCACCATGTGATGCAAACCTAGTTGATGTCCCAACGAAGTGAGCATAAACATTTGTAACTCACTCAGCTCTGCACTGGTGTGTTTGCAACAAGTGGTGCATACAAAAAAAAAAAAAAAAAAAAAAAAAAAAAAAATGTGTTATCATTATGGATACCTCATTTGAAGTCTCCCGCAGTGATGTTACATCGTTTTTTTTTTTCCCCCCCCCAGTTTGTACTTTTTTAAATGGTTAAAACTGTGCACGCTTATGTTTATTTGTGAAGGGGGTTGTTGTAAGGGCAGGACGGGATTTGTACGCCACATGTGTTTTTTATTTCTTCATTGTGATTTGTTCAAATGTGTTGAAGACCATATGTGAGGTTGCCTAAATTCACCACTTCCTCTCGTGCGGATGTGGTTTACAACGATGCACACCTCTGTGCGTTTTCCTTTAACAGCCGTTTGAGTTTTCATTATTGACGCTGGCTGCTTGTTTTTTTTTTGTTTTGTTTTAACCTTCTGAATGCATACCAACAGTTCCCTCTGCAGGACGCGTTGTGGCAACACTTGTTCATGTGTTTTCCTTTTGAAGATTTAAATTTTGAAAAACAGGCAACTCTATATTGTCATGGTAGAATATGTTCATAAGGCGATTTGTAAATCTTTTTTTTTTTTTTTTATTATTCCTTCACGTTTTGTGACATTATGCGATAAACATAAAGTGTTCGTTTTTTTAAATGCCCTTCATAACACATTGGTTAAGATAAACGCATACCAAACGTGTTACACGTGTTACACGTGATACATAATCGAATGCAAATTCGTTTTCATTTTCCCCACCTTACACATCACTCTTGTGCGATTTAAACGGCTCCATTGTGTGGAAAGGTATTTGCGCGATCGAGTTGGTGAAAGCATATCCCCTACGCGCATGTTGATATGCGAAGGAGAAAGCAGTGGCGGCTGGGAAGGTGTAAATAATGCGCATAGGCGCGTACGCCATGTGTACATATGAAGCGTGTGTGTGTGTGCATTTCATCCATATGTATTGAAAAAGGGGGGAATGCAAGCATAAGGCCGTGAGGAGCGAATATTCCCACGGAGGAGAACATATAAAAAGGGGGTAAGCGAGTGTGTAATGGGTGTAGTGGCGTGTACTTTATACATACCCACGCTTTGCCATTTCTACACCGCGCTGTATTCTCAATCGTTTACAGTTTTTTTTTTTTTTTTTTTTTTCACACCTCCTCATTCGTTTAAACTGGTTAACTAGTTAACTCGTTAAACGGTTAAGTGGTCGAATTTGCCAACGTGGCAAAATTTGTAAACCTCTCCATGTGGCATGTGTACACCTTTTCGTAATAAGAGTGATAACACGTATGGAACATACATTTTTCTTCGTAAAGTTTTTTCTTTTTTTTTTTTTTTTTTTTTCCCATTTGCTTTTCATTTCGGCGTTTTATTTATATTTGGGGAACTTTTTTATGCCCATCGCCTTGTGTGAGGGGGGATGGTTCTTGGCCACTTGGGCTTTTTCCATTTCAAGCATTTGCCAATTTAGCGTTATTATATCATTTTGCGACTTTAACCATTTTAATCACATTTTTAACTTTTTCCATTTTTCCCACATTAGGAGAAAAGAAAGGTTTTCTTTTTTCCCCCTTCGTAAACCTTGTATTAATTGCTAGCATATGTAAATTTTGTATTTTATTTATTTTTTATTTTATTTTTTTTTTTTTTGCCCATTTTTATGATCATAATTTGTTACAGCTTTTTTTTTTTTTTATATGTGGCCAAATTGGCACTTTGGTGATTTTTTTTTATTTTTCCAATGCATGGCCTTTTTTTCCCCTTTTGCCACTTAACCCCCTTTTTTAAAAAAATAAATTTCCAGTGCGTTTTGTAAAGAAAAATAAGTGCGTATGGACTTTTCAAGCATTTGAAGGGGGGGGGGAAAGAAAAAAAATACGCTCCATTTATTAATACACCTTGTTGTGTTTGGGTGAACAAGTTTGTGCGTGCGGTACGTGTACATATATACATATCACATACGTACATATGTACATATATGCATATTTTATATACATTATTGTCGTCACTATGGTGTACAAGGAGCATGCATGTATTTATAAAAACGTTATGCGCGAAAATCGCATGGAAGGAGTTGTATGCGGAAGAAGCGCTTGAGTGTTTGTTTTCCATCACAAGTGCGCATTTGTTCGTGCCCTTGTGTTTGATTGAAGTGCTTAATTGGGATATGGCACAGTTGCATATCGTGTAGCACAGAACGCGAGAAGATATAAAGGCACACAAAAATACAAACTTGTAATTGTGAGAGCGTTACTGCCTAGTGGAGAGAGATCCACATATATAATATATTATATATATATGTCATGCCTTCCCCATTCGCATGTAACACTTATATTGTGTTATTAACATGTCATTGGGAAACGACCTTTTCACAGGCGATTGAATTTTGTTTATATTATGTATTTTTGTGCGTTCATTTTTTTTTTTTTTTTTTTTTAATTGTTTTAACAGAATTATTAATTATGCATGGATATTGGTTTAAAAGTGTATATGTGGCGTATGGCGAGTAACGGCTAGGCGACTTTTTTGAGTTCCCTTGCGCGTTAGTTTTCACATGCCCAATTTGTTGCTCGCACATAAGGAGCGGGCGTAACAAGCGGGGGTATTATTATATATGTATTATTATTCGTGCATACGCACACGTATACACCATATATACCTGCTGTGTTCCTTTCCTCTTGTCCCTTTTTGTTTTAAAAAAAGAAGAAGAAAAAAAAAAAAAAAAAAAAAAAAGATTTTCCAAAAAAAAAAAAAAAAAAAAAAAAAAAAAAAAAAAAAGATTTGCCCAAAATAACACAAAACGAGCGAGGCTATTGTGCACGAACAAAAACAGCACACTTTTTTTTTTTTTTTTTTTTTAGAACAAATAAAGGGGAGAAACGCATTTAACATAAAAGAAAGCGAAAAGGGGGAGGAGCATTCTTTTGTTGAGAGATATTCCCCTCTAAGTGTGATACACACACGTTTTACATGTCCTCGTGTGCACCATTCGTTTGCATGCGAGCGAACAGGTGTGAAAGGGTTGCGGCTACCCATTGCGGGTTTACCATAAACGGACGCACGTACACACACACATGTATGTATGTGTGCTTATGCGCTAGACGCACAACTCATCGAATACACACGCATGTACACCCCCTACAAGGGGAACGACGTAAACATTTCTTAATTCGCGAGAGGCATGTGTAAACGGGAAGTGGTGTTACACGCACAGTTGCTTCTCCATGCCATACTCGCGCACTTGTGTATAAATACATTTATTTATTTTATTTTTTTTTTATGCACATTATTTGTGTGCATTATAAGGATAAAGAGAGAGAGAGAGAGAGTGCCACCCCCGTGTGGAAGCTATAACAGATCCACGGAGTCGACATATAAAAGGATGTGTGTAGAAGTATTATGAACAAAATGAAATGCGAAGAGAGAAGGAGTTTTAACGACTCAAATGTGAACTGCAAAAGTGGTGGAAGCAGTTGGAATAGTCACAACGATGTGATGCAGGGTCGTGCAGACAGCATCTCCAAGAAGAAAAGCAAAGGTGAAAAGGGTCATGACGTTCATCAGGGCAAAAGTAAAAGCTGCTCGTCTTCTAATAGTAGGTCCAAAATTGACACCACGAGGATGAACGAGAAAAAGGATGGCATTAAAAATGTGAAAACGTTTAAAAGCAACACGAGCGACTTGTTGAAGCACAAGGGTTCTAACTCAAGGGACAGCGTCAAGTCGTATAGTACGAAAAGTGAAAAAGGAGGAAGTGGGAGTAGCGTTAGCGTTGGAGGAGCCACGGACGATAGCCAAAGGGATAAGTCCTCCCACTCCAGCGTTGACAAGAGGAAGAAGGATAGTTCGAACGAAAAGCACGACGTTAAGGTACATAATAAATTAATTTTTAAGAACAGTAAATACAAAAGTGTTAACAGTAGCAGTGGCACTTCCACCACCAACAATAGTAGCATCAGTGCTAGCAGAGGTGGTGATGAGAAGAACAAAATGAGTGTTCATTCATCTGTTATGAAAAAGGAGGGCATAAAAAGTCACACCTTCAATAGTAGCCATGCGGCTAGTAACAGTAGCACGAAGGGCGGCTCAACAAAGAATGACGCGCCGAAGAGCGCCCCGGCGAAGGGTCTTGCACCCAAAAGCTCCTCAAAAAGTTCCTCCGCGAAAAGCACCCCCTTGAAGAGCGGCCCCTCCAAAAATGCTGCTTATAAGAATGCCGCTTCCAAAAATGCCGCGTCTAAGCATGTCACTTCTAAGAATGCCGCTTCTAAAAATGCAAGTCAGGAAAGCCTGAACAGCGAACATGTGAAGAAGCAGAAAAGAGGCTCTACAACATCCAGCAGCAGCAGAGTAGCTCAAAGGAGTAACGATGAGGTGAGCGAGCTGATGAGCAGTCACACGGCTAGTTCGAAGGAGGAAGGGACCACGGTTAGTAGAAGTGTCGCTGATGCGAAGAAAAAGGTGAAATCGGATAGGGGCCAAAGAACAGAAAAGGAGAAGGGCAACAAGAGTGTAAGCGAAAGCGACAATGAAGCATGTAGGCAAAAAAGCTCGAAGAAGAAAAGTGGCGCAAACAGTAAGGAAAATAAGTCCCTGAAGAATAACCCCGCGAAAGGTACTAAATCGGGAGCAGTTGAAACGGCCACCAGGAAAGATGTCTCAAGGAAGGGTTCATCGGATCAAAAAAAAAAAGAGCACAATGGTAGGAGCAGCTCGAGGAAGGATCGTAGAGCAGACTCGAAATCGAGTAAAAGCAAAGGCAGGGATGGACGCAAAGGTGCAAAGTATAAGGAAGAGGAAGAGGAGGACGATACTGAGGAGGATCAGAGTGAAATGGAAGAAAATGAAGAAGAGAACAGTGACGATGACGACGATGATAATGATAACGATGAAGGGGAGGATGAGGATGAGGCGGAAGAGGACGAGGATGAGGAAGACGACGAGGACGATGATGAGGACGAGGAGGATGAAGATGAGGATGAAGATGAGGAGGACGAGGAGGAGGACGTGGAGGAGGAAGAAGATGAAAAGGACCCAAAGAAAAGACGGTCATCTAAGCAGGTCGCCAAGGACAACGTGAAGAAGAAAAAAAAAAGGAGAACGTCCTTGAGCTTGAAGAAGAGGAAGCGGAATCCCCCCAAGGGAAGCCAGGATGATGGAAACAAGAGCCGTAGTAAGAGTGGAGGCAAAATGGTCCACAAGAGCATTAGCAAAGGCATTAGCAAAGGCAGCAGCAAAGGTAGTAACAAAGGGGGTACTAGCAAGGGAAGCAGCAAGAAGACCGTGAAGAACGAACAGAAGAAAAGCAACAGTGGTAGGAACAAGGTAAAAAGTGGAAGCGCATCTGACAAAGATGAAGAAGAGGAAGAAAACTCCTATTTTGACGATAACGATTATTCCGTGGCTGCCAGGAAAAGTGTTCTCGAGGAAAGAGAAAGGAAAAGAAATATAAAGGAGAGTTACATTAAACAAATGAAGCTGCCCACCTATGTAGATGATGAGTCGATTCTCTTTATTAACAATCCTAATTACGTAATGGTGTTGCTCTTCCTAACGGTTTACAAAGATGTGCTCAAAATGAGTTGGAACTTCAAGGACATTGATGATATGTTTCAAAATAAGGAGACAACTGAATTTGGAAGAAATTTTATTTTAAAATTATTTTTTTTTCTCGGACGGTACTTTAACTCCAAGTCCATATTTATGTACAGGTACATCTCTCGTATTTTTGAGGACAAGCAGGCTTCTCTGGTGAGGGTGGTAAATTTTAATGAGCTTTTCCCTGTAATGGAGAATAGAAGGGAGAAGAAGAGCAAGTCGGGTGGTGGTGGAGGCACGTCTGGTGGGGGGAGCAGTTCCAAGAAGAAGAAAAAGAGTGACAAAAAGAAGAACAAGAAGAAGGTGAAGGCGGAGGAGGACGTCAAGGTGGAGGAGCTCTTCGATGAGGGGAATGACGACGGGAATGATGATGGGAATGAGGACGGGAATGAGGACGGGAATGAGGACGGGAATGACGACGGGAATGACGACGCGAATGACGACGCCAACGAGGACGGGAATGAGTTCGAGGAGGAGGACGAGGAAAATGAAAGCGACAATGAGAATGAAGCGGACGAGGCGCTCGACGGGGAGGACGCGGAAGACCGCTCCTCGAACGAAGCGAATGGCGAGGGTAAGAAATCGAGCAGCCACGCCAAAGTGGAGCAGTCATCATCAGCCGAGCTGGCAGATCAGGACAAGTCCCACGGGGACAGGAGTCTCGAAGCAGAGGGGGAGAACAAGGACACCGCGGCAACTGTAGACGGGGCATCCATCTTAAGAAGCGACCACCCAGGTGGAAGTGTGACCCAAGAAGAAGCTCCCACATCTGCTCCTACCAACAGTAATGCGGTCGGGGTGATTGAAAAGGATGGCACGGGTGGCAATCAACATTGTGACCAGCTGACGGACGGAGTGAAGCATGAAGAATTACAAGACGACAAGGGATTGAGCAAGAAATTATTTCTCGAGTGGGATGACCTGAGTGTGATTTCAAAACTGAGAATCATAAGAATGCTTTTGAATTTAGTCTTATGTGAAAGTATTAATTTAAAAAAAATGCTAACAGAAGAAAAAGTCGACTACAACAATGGCTATTTGGGTAAAATAAATAATGAAAAGTATTGGTTAATTTTTAATGACACTATAAGTATTGAATTTAAATTATATGTGGAAAAGGAGGAGAAAGGAACTTTTGAATTCCTGTGTGATGATGATGATGTGTTGTATAATATAGGATACAATCTGTTGAAGGATGTGGAGACCAAGGCAATGGGAGAGACCATCATTGAAAGGTATAATAAGATATGCAGGGAGAGAAGAAATAGAAGTAGAATATTGAAGCAGCAGAAGAAATTGTGTTCAGATTTTAACCTGGATGGTGGTTCTGTGCTAATTTCTAAGAAGAGGCAACATAAGCAAGTGGAGCATTTCAATTTTGATCACGATAAAATGAGGAGGAAAAGGAATGATGGTGGGAATATGTATGGAGGTGCTGGTGGTAGCTATGGCTCTGGTGTGAATGCGAACAATCCATATGCGCTACAAAAAAATAATTACCAGAAGAATGATCGTTCGTTTAGATTAGCAGCTAGGAATGCGCAAAAGGGTAATGGACTTGTGGGGCCGTTGGAGGGGGTAGAAAATGAGGACTACTTACAAAGTGGAACTGCTGCTGTTGGTGTGGGAGCAGCGGACGGTGCTCTGTTGAATAGTGTTGGTGGCACGCTGAACACTTTGCCCGGTGCGAATGGAGCTGCGCTGGGCACGGCAGGTGTTGTGGTGAAGGTGCCTCAGAAGAGAGGTAGGAAGAAAAAATCTGAGAAGAAAAAAAGAGGAAGAAAGAAGAAAATTTTAACACAAGGGGGAGTGCCCCTTGGAGGTGAGGGAGCAGGAGCGCTAGCCGGGTTGGTCTCCGATCCCAATAATCCACTGGGTGGTGTAGGCCAAGTGAAGGAGGCGAAGAAGGCCACTGGTACGTCCACCAGGGGAAGGAAAACTACATACAATAAAAGAAATACGAAGCCAGCTGTGTCCATTAAGTACGGAACGAGAAGTCACTCTATAAGTAAAAACAGAAGTGAGGCAATTCCCTTTAATGACTTTGCTCTGGGTCATGGAGTAAACTCCGAACCCCTTTACAAAAATGGAAATATGGATTCAAAATATTTTAACCCTAGTATGCATGTGAATAATTTTATGACCCCTAATATGAACAGCCCATATGGCATGCAGACTAATGTGCTTAACATGAGAGGGAACAAAATGGATGGTCCCCCTGGCAGTTATAATTTTCCTTACATGTACAATCCACAGCTCTATGGCCAATACTACATGTACAATGGGAACATGTATATGCTGAATAATGCTGGTGGTGGAGGTGGGGGTGGTGGTATGTTTAGTCAAGGCAGTGGTGGTGCGCAAGGTGGCACTGCAAAGGAGATAAAGAGCGAGGGTGCTGCTTTTATGGCAAAGGGGGGAGGAGTGTCTGGTGGAGGTGGGGCGACGATTAGCAATGCAGGCAATTTGAACAAGAGCAACATGGGTCCTGGTGGTAGTGGGGGAAGCAAGGGCACCGTGAGTGTAAACAACCCGGAGGGCGAAGGGCCCAATGAGATGAGTGGTGCAAGTGGGGTAGGAGGTCAGATCAGCTCTGCGATGAATTCTTCCATGAGCTCTTCCATGACCAGTCCCATGACCAGCCCCATGAACATGATGAACTCGGTAAGCGCAGGCGATGGGGGACTCAGTGGAAGCATGAGCGGCGGCATGAATTACATGGACCCCATGAACAAGTACCAGCCATATGTGTTAAACAGAAATGCCATGAACAACCTACCATCCAACCCCATGTACAATAACATGTATAATTTAAAATTTCCCTACATGAATAATGATATGCTGAATTATAATTATAATATGAGCAATTTTCAAAATTTGAGTTATGAAAAAATGAATAAGGTAGGAGGAGGAGGGGGACCCGGACCCGGACCCGGACCTGGACCTGGACCAGGAACACCAGGAGGAGGACCACCAGGAATGTTCAAGAGGTATCCTAATTTCATGGGTGGTGGAGGTTTCCCACCCCCCTACAATAACATGAACAACCCTTATGCTAACTTCAATGCGTATAATATGGGTTACCAGAGGACTGAAGGTTACGGTTCTATGCCTGCAGGAGGGGCTACAACTTCAACATCTGCTTCAGGGACAGGATCCTTTAAGAACAAACTGGTAGATATGAACAACCCTAGCGAGGGTAGTGGTGGAACGCCCGTATCTTCAGCTGGTGGGGTAAGCGGTTATCATATGGCAAATGTAAAAAACCAAAGGGGTAACAATGACATGCACGGCGCGGCTCCAACCCAGGACAAGTCAGCACAGTTGGGCTCATCAGGTGTGGTAGTACCGTCTGGTGTTAATTGCGCACCGGGTGAGGGAAACCAGAAGGGAGAGACAGGTAGAATGGACCACATAGTGAACAACTACATGATGATGCACCCAGGGGGTAGCGCCGATATAGATCCTGCTAATAATGCAACGAATAACAATTCAATGGCTACCTTAGAAAACAGTGCTGTTCAGAATGGCCTGAACGGTTCAGGCGGGTAGGAAGGGGGAGTTGTCCGCTTCTCCAATTTCAGCGCCAACGGAAGAAGGGACGTTATGAACTAAAGATGTACGATGCCGGATGCTAGTGTCTCTTTGTAACAATTTAGCATGTGTGAATCATTCGAGTAACCACACGCATGCGCCGGGAGCTGCTCTTCCCTGTACCCTTATCATCGCGCGAAAGGGCGACGTGGACAGTCTGATGGGTTGACGTGCCCGTGGGCATATACCCCCCTTCTATATGTACGTACATGCAGGTGCAGACGCGCATGCTTTTTTTTTTTTTTTTTTTTTTTTTTTTAATGTCATTCGCCTTATTAAGAGTCGCTGCGTGGGTGTATCAGTGAGCGGCACCCGATTCGCATTCTTTTTCACATGGGGGCATATTTCTCGTATTGACCTGTGACCCTTTTATTCCTGTGTGCATTTATTCCAATATATTTTATTTTAACATTTGCCATTACATATATTAACCTCGCTGTGCATTTCTCTTTGTAATCATTTTTCACTCCCTTTTGTGTGCACGTTTGGTTACCTAATACGAACTTGTATGATTTCCTCCTTCCATTCGTTTATGCACGCGAAGGCTGCGTGCTTGAGTTTTGTACAGGTGAATATGTACTGTGCTTAAGACGGCTAGGCATATGTGTACATGTGTGTACGAATGTCTTTGTACGTGTAGGAAAGCGCATTACTCATGTGGACAACTGCATGAGGCGTCGCGTAACAGTCTTGCGGAGGGATTCATTTTCCCCCCTTCGTGATGTGTTTCCCATTTTTTTTTTTTTTTTTTTTTTTGCCTGATATAATAAATAGACTTTAGAAAACAAACAACATACAAAATAAAATGGACCAAGAGAGAAAATTATTTTCCTACTCATTTGGGGGTGGTGTCATCTGAAGTGGCTGTACCTTTGGTGCGACTTGTACCCACACTGGGGGGATCATCATGGGGAGTGCTCTGCTCTGCTGCTCGTGCCGACGCCGACATCACCTCATCACACCGGGTCATGATTCGGTAAAAGTGGCTCATTCGCACACTTCAAGGAAGAAGCTAATGCCGCGTTGCTCCTTCCTCTTTGCTGCTCAACAATATTGTGACTTGTGCATAACCTTCTGTAGGTAGGTAAAAAATAAGTGTTAAATGGGTTTGAGGCCCCTCCGTAATTTTTATTTGTTGAATAAATTTCCTGCACTGAAGGTGGAACGCGGTTTGGTCGTTTGGCAATTTCTCCCCCCAGGGATATTTTCACAATTTTTTTTTTTTTTTTTTTTTTTTTTTTTTTTTTTTTTTTTTTTTTCCGTCCAAATGGGGTAAATAAGTCCGACCCGCGCAACGTCATCCCAGGCAACGTAAAACACCCAAACGGCTACCTCCCCCCATTTTGGTGAAAAATAATTTCATGTTGAAGAAAAGGATATTGATTAGAAAGAAGATTTATCTTTGAGGAAATTTCCCCCATTTGCATTTTTTATGTATCTCCAACACGTCATCTACACGGCGACGCCTTTTGGCTCCTTGGAAAAAAAAAAAAAAGTGTCCCCTTTGTGTAGGTATGGTCGCCGGGGGGCAGCAACGTTATCTATTTAGAGTCATAAAAACACACGTGGAGATAAGTACCCGCATATGCACAAATTATTTAGGACCTTCCTGCGCGTTGTGAACGCCCGGGAGAAAAACAAGTTGGACGAGAGTGCCCTCTTGGAACTGAAAAAATGGGGACGGGAAAAGGTCGTTCAGAATGCCCAAGTGCTTGAGGAGTACCTGAACTATCGCGAGGTGTTGAACGACTACACCAACTTTGTGAGCGCAAGTGAAGATAAGAGTGAGGAAGACAAAATTGAGAAGGTGGCAAACTATGTGGGCCTTACAACGGCTACGGCCAAAGGGGACAAAAGTACTCATGTGCATACTTAACCTTATGCACGTATTTAATATTAAATGTGACTTGTTCCCTTCACTGGCATACTCCACCATTAGCTTTATACCGCAGGCTAATTTTCACCTTTTTTTTCGTTTTTACGTTTGTACATTTTTTTCTCATTTGTTTTCATTTTTTTTTTTTTCCCCCTTGAGGGGCACAGGCGACACGTTAATTATGAAACTACGCACACGCGCGTATATCGCCAGTTGAAAAGTTTTTTTTTTTTTTTTTGTGCCTTCTGGGCATATATATATATAAAAAAAAAAACACATTAACAACTAAAAAAAAAAAAAAAAAAAAAAAAATGTTATGCATCGCTGCGAAATGTAAAACATGGACGGAGTGGTGATGCATGTGTATGTGTGTGTGTGCGGGATAGGTGACACCCCCTACTTCCACAACTTGCGTAGGGTGAAGTTTTTTTCTGCGTCCTGCTTCATAACCTTTGCGACGGCCATCTCGAAATCTTCCTGCGTGACGTGGACACGCCTCTCTCGTAAGGCAAACATGCCCGCCTCGGTGCACACAGCCTTGACTTCAGCCCCAGAGCAGTTATTCATATCAGTGGCGATTTTCAGCATATCGATTCCTCGCATGAGATTCATTTTCCTGCTGTGTATTTTTAAAATTTCCATCCTAGCTTCCACATTAGGATTGGGGAATTCAATTTTCCTGTCAATTCTTCCTGGTCTTAACAAAGCTTCATCGAGGATGTCAATTCTGTTTGTGCACATAATTACTTTAATATTTTGTGTGGACTCAAAACCATCTAGCTGATTCAGTAGCTCCATCATGGTCCTCTGTACTTCCGAGTCTCCATGTTCTCCTTCTATCCTTTGGCTTCCAATAGAATCAATTTCGTCCATGAAGATAATGGAAGGAGCATGTTCCCTTGCCATTACAAATAATTCCCTAACCATTCTCGATCCTTCACCAATATACTTTTGAACAAGTTCTGACCCGGACACTCTTATAAAGGTACACTCTGTGTGGTGTGCTACTGCTCTGGCTAGTAAAGTTTTTCCTGTCCCTGGGGGACCATATAGTAATACCCCTTTAGGTTGTGAAATTCCTAACGATTCAAATATTTCAGGATGCTTCACTGGCAACTCAATCACTTCCTTCACTTCCTTCACTTGTTGATCTAACCCACCCACCATTTCATACGTCGAGTCCGGTACCTTCTCGACTTTCATAAGCGACACAAGAGGATCTACTTTGCTTGGAAGAATCTTATGTAACTTATAAGAATCATTATATAATGCTACTCTCGTGTTAGGAGTGCACTGGGCAATGTTTATGCTATGAGCAATATCCACTACGTACTTTCCTTCAGGGTTTATTTTAACTAACACTTTATTTTTTCCCATGGGTTTAACAATTTCACCAACATAAGACGCAGCTTCGAGCAGGTACTGAATTTCATCGCACAGTTCCCTAACCCTTGTATTCAATTCATTTCTCTGAGCTTCTAACCTTTTTTTATTTTGTAACTTTTTATTTATTATGGATTCGTATTCCTCGATTTTCATTTCATAATATGTTTTTATACCTGATTGCATTTCTTCTTCACTCTTGTTTACCCCGTTGGGGTCCTTCTTCTGGTCCTTTTTAGCCTCCTCCGGCAGCTCGCCCGATCGCATATGCATGTCCACGGCCGCCATATGGGTGTTTTTATAAGTGTGAGGGGTTTTGACTGGCTCTTCCCCGTTAATGTAAATTGCGGAGGACGTGCCAGGAATCGCCTTGGCAGTGGCCAACGCAGCGACGGCGGGTGGTACCGGGTTTTTAACTCCACTGTCGCGTGACAAAAGGGCACATTAGAAAAGCAGAAAGTGCGGGGGGGGAGGGGGGAAATAAAGAAAAGTACAATAAAATAAAATCAAATCAAAACGAAAGTGCAACTAAAAAGCGGATGCAACTTTGGACGCAACTAAGAGGCGAATGTAACTTTAAAAAAAACGTGGCAAACGGGGGGGGGGGGAAGCACGCGCAAAGGTGTGAGTGCCCGCGAGGGCTGCTTTATAACATTCGCGTATGAACGTGTTAACGTATGAACGTGTGAAGGTGAAAACGCACGTATGCTCTGTTTCCTATCCGCCAAATCATTCGCCTTCATTCCGCGCTGTTCACTTGCACGGATGGTCGTTTGGGCATTTTTTTTTTTCTTCGCTTGTTGGGGAGACTGCATCTCCAGTAAGTTGCGCATTAACACTAACGTGGCACAGCAGTCATTTTTTTTTTTTTTTTTTTTTTCTCTCCCCATGTGGTGTGACCCCGATTCCGTGCCCTGCGCTTTGTGTCAGTAGTGCTGTGCGCGAGTGGTATATGACCGGAGGCTGCATCAGGGCGCCCTTGCGTGTGCTGGGAGCGACCAGGCACTATTTTCGTTTGGCACTCTGCATTCGTTGAGCATCATGTGGGGTGTACTTAAATATGCGTGCCTTTTGCCACTTTGAAATTCACAATGTTTCTAATTTTTCCTTTTTCATTTTTCCCAAACAACTGACTCGTTGTGCAACCGTCGCGCGAGGGAGGTTTTCCCCAAGCATTTCACCTTTTTTTCTGATGAAGGGAAAGTGTGTTGCTAGGACAGTTTATTTAAAAAAAAAAAAGAACTGTACCATTTATTCATCCCTGTTGATGTGGCATTATATTTTATTTCCTCCTCCACGATGGTAGTTCAGCGTGACATGAACGAATTACACTTCTTTTGTATTGCCCCCCGGACAGGGGCATCCCCCCGTTGGTCGGTCATGTGAACAGAGGTACACGCTCCTTATTTGAGTTCTTTGCGATGGGAAGAATGGGCAAAAAGACAAAAAGTACGCACACGGTTGTGAGGCAAAAGGTGAGGAACGCTATTTTATTTGTCTTCTTTTTTTTTTTTTTATGTCACTTGTTTTCTCGTATGTGCAACGTTAACATAATAATCCGGATAGAAAAAAACAACGTGATAAGTCCACGTTTATGTTCCTCACCAAGTGGTGGTGCTTGGGTTGGGGACAGGGCGATAAGCACATGCTTTGAAGTGGCCAAGTGTGCAACAGCATTATTGGAGTTGGGAAGAAAAATAAACAAAAAAATGGAGGAGTTACGGACAGCACGCAGGTAGCCGACAACGTGGAGTAGTATACCCCTCTGAAAAAAAGTTAAAGCTGTAAAATGTTAAACAAATTTGTCAACTAAGTAGGACACAAATGTAGCAAACACAGTAACAGGTGACATATGCACATGTTAATGTTCTGAAGAAGGACAGATTTGCACAAAGTCATTTTTGAGGTTGGCAGTTTATTCATATTATGGGCAGCTAGCCAATTTACTTGGTCATTTCATTGCTGCATTTTTTTTTTTTTTTTTTACCACTTTTCACCTGCACAGTTCAGAAATTGTGTATGGCCCCACCACTCTTCTGCTGAAATGTAGAGTTGTCCGGTGGGGAACTCCTACCGAGTTGTTAGCCACATTAAGGATCTGTGAATAAATGTAACTGACGTATTTGTTGTTTTCTTCCAAAGTTTCTTTCATGAAGGAGTTTAGGTTAATGTCGTCCAAAAGAGCAAGCACAAAATTTACCTTCTTCACGTTCTCCCATTTGATGAAAAAAAATGAGTCAGCTGTGAGATTGGTATTTTCTTTTTCGTGGCGTTTTGCCTGAACGGTTAAGGCTACATTTTTTTTTTTTGTCATTCCTGTGCAATAATTTACGCGGGACTGCAAATCGAGCAGGAAATCCCAATAGGTGTACAAAAAAATTAAAAGCTGCGATTTGTGCACTGGCAGCATGAATTGCGCCCCATTTGTTAACACTTCCCTGTGACGATAAAAAAGGATGAAGTGGGAGAGGAGCTGATAAATGTTGTCCAGGGTTAAATGGAGGTGCCTGGTGAAAGATCTGCTTTGTTCCCCTTTGTACTGAAGTGTGCTAATGTTGTAAAGGTAGCCAATAAAAGCGTACAGTAAATTGGAGAGTGTTTGGTTGATGTGGCGTAAGGAAGGAGGATGTCTTTCTCCTTTGTCTGCAAACTTCTGATTTGGCATCCCAGTTTGGCAATTTCGTTCACAGAGAGAGCGATGCAGCCACTTGGACAAAATGGAAAACTGCAGCAGGATGAACTTGGACAAGCAAGGATAGTGGGGGAACATGTTGTGTGCATTTTTGACGTAGGTCAAAAAAAACATGGGAACTATTTCGATCAGAGTGTTTTTGTTCCGAGTGCGCAGGATATATTTCTCCTCCTGATTGTGTAGTGAATATAGTGCTAAATATTTTTTTATCTTCCGCATGAAGAGTACGCAGAAAAGTTGTTTTTTTTTTAAGTCCTTCCAATATTGTGAGAGAGAATGAAAGATCATGGACAACTGCAGAAGGTCAAAGGACATTACCCTTTTTATCACTTCTGGTTCTATCAGTGCGGAAAGAATTTCCCGATCTACACATATGAGTTGTGTTAGGGCTTCTGTGAGTTGGCACAAGTCGATGTTGCTCATGTAGGGAAGCATTTGGGATGTTTTTTCACGCACAAAGGATGTGAAACTTGGATCTGGCGTGTTTTGCATTTTAACTTTGGACAACACGTTGAGCAGTATGCAAAAGGTCCTGGGGGATAGGCTTTCCAACGTTTCGTAGCGGAGGTCATGGGAAGAAATGGGATGGACCACGTTACACTGATCGAGTGCGCTGTGTTGAATTTGTATGTCATTTGGGATAGGTGCCTGTACGTTGCCAGGTTCACTTATGTGAGAGTTGTGTGTGCTACCGCTGAGCGAGGGTGCAGAAGTGTCGTTGACCAAAAGGTGCCTCAGCAAGGGCACAAAATTGATGCCTCTCCGTTTGGCAGAAAATACCTGTACAACACTGACCCAGTTGTGTACATCATTCTGGAGTGAAAATTTTCCTGCTCGAATGGCACAAGCGATATAATCATTCAATTTTTTCACCACGAAATTACAGTCTTCACTTTTTTTAAATGTATGAACAAGGTTTGGTAAGCATGCGGGGTCGATGTTTCCCTCCTTTAGTAGTGGCTCAACGAAATGGGAATATAAATATTTCAAGTGGACACTCCCCACGAAAGTGTTTTTTGTATAAGGAATTATTTTTTTGAGCAATGCAGAAATGCCAGTTTCTTGACTGTACTTATGAAAATGTAAAATGACATGTTCTAAGTTGCGCTGGATTATTTGCTTGTCGATATTTTTTTTTTCAATTAATTTTCCGCTGACCAGTAGGCACACAATGTGCCTGTTCATGTTGGAGAGTCCATGAGGGCACATGTTTGTACATATATGTTATTTCACGTGTGGGAGTGCTGTCATGTGTATTTATCCTCGCCCGAGCGCCTTCGTTTCAGTAAGAGTGTTCCCCCCCGCTTTGTCCTCCCTGGTGACTGTGAAAATGGATGGCCGTCCACATTTTTTTTTTTTTTTTTTTTTTTTTTTTGTTTCTTTTTCACACATGTGTCGCTAGCTACACAATAACGGCGGGTGCATATATCTAAGCAGTCCTCCAAAGAATAAGACGTCCCCTTGGAGGGGCGATGAGAAGGATTACTTCCCAAGTGGGATGTGCCCCCCAACAAAAGGATGACACGAAATGTTCGGGAGAGCACCTGTTCACTTCAAAAAAAAAAACTCCGAAGGAGACATTAAAACCCGTCTTGGCTCTTCACATTTGTACATTTAGGGCAGTTATGCGAAGGTACAGCGTTACAGAACGCAACGTTATTTCTTTGTCCCCTTTTCTGTTTGCCGCACAGGTGGGAATGAAAAAAATGCTTTTCCCCGTGCAGGTGTTGCGTGTGGGGGAAAAATATCTACATGTGCTGTTAATCATATTAAAAAAAAAATTTGTGGTAGTAAAGTTCATTTTAATCCTTTCCCATGCGCTTGCGCGTTGAACGTGCGAACAACGTCGGGCGACAAAGTGCTTTCACTTTTTTCTGGCCAATTTTGTTGCGTTAAGGATGTTGTTTGAGGCGATTTATCCCCCACTTGTTGCAGCAGCGTGAGCTAGGTGATTGGCGCGTGTTCTTCTTGCACGACCTATGTGACGTGGGCGAGGGAAGAAAAAAAGAGCACCACGTATCAATCTCTGCACGTACAAATTGCTCTCTACATTTGTTTTACTGCTCATTTGGACATATTTGTTGTTTAAAGAATGAAGTCATTTTTTTTTTTTTTTTTTTTTTTTTTTTTTTTTCTCCCACTTGAATTTTAACCTGCTCTCATGTAACCCACATTAGTGACACTTGTTTTTTTTTTTTTTCTTCCTCCACAACAGTAGCAACAACTATTATATTCGTACATGCGACCAGTTTGCATAGATATATATATATATATATTTTTTTTTTTTTTCTCCTTTTTTGTGGACCTTATTTTTGTGCGCAAATTAAACGTGCAGCTGTTAGTAGGGGCGTATATAAAACCCGTGTAGGTGGCCAGCCGTTACAGACTGTAGGGGAGGGCCACGCAGCTTATAGAAGTGAATTAGATTTGTCATCTTTACAAAATAAAATTCCTGATCGCGCTCATTCTCTTATCCCTGCTCTGTAAGTTCACCATGGAGTATAAAAAAACGAAGAGGACCAACCAGTACATTTTTGAAGGGAGCAGACACCAGGCTAAGGTAAGAAGACGCGTGCACGACGCGCTCCCACACAATTACATCCCACATACAAGTGGGTGGGTGGCCGTTATTCAGATAGCCTCTCCTGATGTGGGATAAATATGCTGCGCAGACTTGTCCGCGTTCACTTCGTCACTTCCTCTTCGTAACTTCTTCCGCTCCCCGCCCCCGCGCAGAGGCAGAAGATAAACGTGAACGCAGAGTGCAAGGGGATCCTGATCTCCACGCTGAGCCCCAAGCGCATGAACATAGGCATAAAAGAATTTTTGAATTTCCTAAAGCTCCATTTTCCCATTGAGCAAGATGAAGCTGCGGTGAAGCAGCAGAAGGTAGAGGAGGACAATCCGAACGGGGAGCAAGCGGAAGGAGAAGGACAAGAAGAAGGAAAAGAAGAAGGAAAAGAAGAAGGAGGCCGCATGGAAAAACAACTTAATGAAGAAATAAAAAAGGAAAACATAGAGTACAACCGTTTTGCCCCACTTCGAAATATAGTAAAAAATTTCACCTTTATAAAATTTAATAACATAAATGAAAAAAACCCATCAGACATTGTTCAGCAGATTTTTGTGTTAGCTCATAACAAGAAGGAAAAATATATCCTCCGACACTTGTGCAAAATTATTCCCCTGGACTGCATTTGCAAGCCACACTTGTCTCCCTTCATAAAGGCCATCCTTCCAGTACTAAAGAAAAATTTTCCTAAAGGGGCCTGCGCGGAGGAGAGTTTCACCGTGGGCCATTTGTCCAAGCTGATGAACGTGTCCACGGAGAAGGGTGCCGAAGGGGATGACCAGGCGAAGGACGGTGATAAGGAGCAGGGCGATAAGGAGGGCGATAAGAAGGTGGAGGAAAACGGGGCAGAGGAGAACAAGGCTAAGGAAGAGACAACATCAAGTGAGGACAAACAAGCCGAACGAAAAAAGGTTTCGTGGGCCCTGATTTACAAATGCTCGAACACAAAGACTCTCATGAAAAGAGATGTCTTAACGGTGCTGGACAACTGCATAGGAAACAGCTACTCAGTTAATTTGAGTAACCCTGACTTGGCCGTGGTGGTCTACGTGACAGAGGTTAGATTTGCACGTTTGAGGGAGCAGGAGAGTGGCGTCCATGTGGGTGGTTTACTCCTACTACAGTTGCCATTCACCTTGCCACAGCTTCTTTACGGGCTCACCTGTTTTGATATGACTCCACCCTCCCTACACACAACCATCACTGCACAACTGCTTTCTCTCCCCCCTTCCCTTTTTGTAGATCATGTGCGGAATTAGCATCGTCAAAGGATATGACAAGACAAGGAAGTTTAACATCGCGGCGTTCAACGAGGATTCCTGAGTGGACTCTGTCCCCAGTGCCTGTGTGTATCACGTCTGCATACTATGCCCGGATGCGCACAAGGGCTCCCTGTACAAAGGAGCATATGTGGAAGGGCGCGCGTGAGCGAGCTTTCAACACATAACACTCTTCCAAAATGGAAGAAACTGCTATAAATTAAACACACACTTGTTCATGTTTGTAAAATTCAAATTTGAGTTTTAATTTTCTCCATTCAGTTTAAGTATGCGTTTTAATGCCCTTTCGAAATGTATTACCCATTTCACCATTTTTGTGAGTTTTTTTTTTTTTTTTTTTTTTTTTTAACCCAGCCCAGTTGGCTATTTGGACTTTTTTGTAGACGGGTATATAATTTGCGCTGTGCGGACATGCCGACACGCGCTTGTACAAAAAAAAAAAAATTAACCGTGCTAGTGATATGATTTTCTCAACAGCATCGTTTTTATGCGAGCTCCCTTTTATAATTGATGAAAGGTGTTAGGGAAGCGTTGATTAAGCTTATCGACCTGTCCCTCCGCTGTTACGCAGTGTGTGTGCAACACATATTAACCCATTTAAAAGTGGCTTAAATGGAATAGGTATATGCTCATGTAGGGTCACCTCCAAGCAGGTCAGCCAAAATGGATGTCGAAGACAAACTGCTGAAATTGTTTAAAGAGGTAAGGAAAACAAGTGTAAAGCGTGAAGAATGGAGGCAGGAACAAAACGTTATTTATGACTTTCCAAAGTGGGATGACAATTTTTCATGCGATGAGTACTCAGTCAAGGATGTGGTACGTCGTGCCAGAAAGGGGGGAGGAGCAAAAGAAAAAGAAGAAGACAGGACAGGTACGTATAAAGATGTTTTTAACACCTTTGAAAATGACATAAATTATTACTTAGGTGAATATGTCGAAGACATTATATCTTCTTCCGTCACGGGTAAGAAGGATAACGGCTTCCCTCGATTGGAAGAGGAAACTTTGAGGACACCATCGGACGTAATTTTTCAGCACTTGATTTATGGGAGTGTGTTGGGCGAAAATTTGAGGCGTTATGAATACAACTCGAGGTACTTCACACCCCCTCTGGTGGAGGATGCGTCCGAGTAAGTTTGTCAGGTGTGTGGTTGCGTGCATGTGTCACTATGCGTGCGCCCCTCTGGTCGATTCGTTCGTGCCTTCTCATCCACATGTATATGTGTACCCCACTGGGGGAAAACTCAGCTTTTCAGATGCCTCCACCAGTTCGAACGTTGTCCAAAGGGGGAAACATCCCCCCGTGAGGGACATAACGCATGAGGTGAATTAATGAAAGCAGACGTAGCAGGGGGAAGGAACATACAAAAAATATGGGAAAACAAAACCTTGTTCTTCAAAAATAGCATACATTTTTCACTTGCGTGGAGCGTCCCCTTCAAGTTTAAATGACACATTTTCGTATCCTCTCTTTTTTATTTCTAATAAGTGTGAACTAGGTTTTTAGCGATTCGTTTTAACCTTGCACCAAGTGTCTTTCTTAAATGCTTGTCGCGCTTTCAATGTGGACATTTGGAGGATGCACACTGTTGTGTTTTTTTTACACACACTTGTATCAGTTTGGTTTGCCAAGCAGCGATCATTTGTTTATTCAGCTAGCTAACATGTGCAGACTTTTTTTTTTTTTTTTTTCTGGGTGTGTTTGCCTGAACAGTTCAGGCGAATTGGACATTTCCCACGAATGGCAACTTGGTGACACATATCCACATGGGATACACATGCACACCACAATGGTACGAATTAGTGGTTTTGCATAAGGGATAATTTCAAAGTGGGACAAAAAGGGAAAAGAGGAAAAGCAACATTGGGGATAGCCCTATGAATCCACATGTCCAAAATTACCCTTATAAGGTTAGGAAAATAAATGTAAAAGAAAAAAAAGAATCTCTTGCGTTAAAAAAGTTCTCGACATTGAGAAAGGCACGTCGTGTGGCGAAATTGATGAGGGGGAACCAGGGGACTTTGGAAAAGATAATCAGAGAGAAAACCCACCTACGTAAAAACGAGTGACCATTTCCACGAGGATACGCTTCATTTTCTACTTTCCCCTTTTGGGAGCTATAAATCTTTTAATAATTTGTTTTCCTCATTTATGGCAAGTACACATATTTGGGGGGACAGTGCGATGCGACCACGATGTACACGTTCACTCTGCATACATGAATACAAGTCCATCCGTCCGTATGTGCGTGTGCACGTGTACATGTTGAAGATATGCACACAAAGGAGTACACCTGCGCGCGTTGCTTCAATGTTTGGAGTGAAAATTCCTTGCAACAGATCTTCGTTCAGCAGCGCCTGCTTCCTTTAAGTGACCCTTCCTTTGAGCTAAAAGTTGTGTTCATTTTTTTAATACCCCTGTCGAAGGCTAACGAGCGTCCCCTTTTCCGCATAGTTTTGCCCCACTTATATACATGGGGCTTTGGTCGTTTTCGGCGATAGGCCATTTCGCCCACTTGTATGCTTACCCGTTTGTTTTATATAATACCCATCCGTTTCTCCACTTACCCGTTTGCTGCTTGTGTTGTTTTCGTTTTTCAACTCGGTAATGGCACCTGCGTCATTGCGCTAATGGCTTAATTTTTAACCCCAAGTGCACGTTTTATTCGCCTCCAATTTTGCTCATACGGACATGCGAAGGTACACGCATGCATATAAAACATATACATTGTTTTTTTTTTTTTTAAATCCTGGTCGAAGGGAAAAATTGCTTTCCTCAAAGTTGACTCATTTTTTTTTTTTTTTTTTTTTTTTTTTTTTT